CCGCTGCGGCGGGCCGCCCAGAAGGCACTCTGTGACCGCAGTCGAAGCCGGACCCCGGGCCGTCCTGGCGCTGCCGCCTGCTCAGCGCCTACTCCCTCTGCCACCCACTGTGCTGCCCTCCCACGCGAGCCCACCAGTGCTTCCTCCTGCGCGCTCCCCCACTGCCTCCCCCTGCTCCCTGGCTCTGCGTGGCCTCACCCCCCACCCACACCCCACCTCTCTGGAGGCCTGACCAGGGCAAAAAGTTCAGGGACCCAGAGGGGTTCTCCCCTCATCTAAGTCGGCACAGAGGGAAATACAGGCAGGGCCAGCAGGATGGGGCCTCCTCGAGCGCACTGTCTCCACGCCGGGCCTTAATATGGGCGACACCTGGGCCCAGGGAGGTGCTGCGTTCACCCCAGCTTCACCCTCAGAGGCCCGACAGACGGCCCAGGTCCCGGTCAGTGTGAACTGGAATGCTGGCCCTGACCCGAGCCCACACCATCCCTCCATGGTCTGCCACCCACCAGGGGGGGGCGTGGGCAAATGAGAACACAGGGCTAGGCCGTGAGAAAGTGGACCGGACAGGAGGGGTGTCTGGGCACCTGCCCATGCTCCTCAGCTGAGTGCGAGACCGCGGGCTAGGACCAGCCAGCCTTCCACTGCAGTAATCCCAGCTCCCCGGCCGCTCCACACTGGACTCCGAGCTGTTCAGACAGGCCTCAGGGCCTCTGCAGGAGCCTCCTCTGCCCTAGTGCTGCTTCCTCCAGGAAGTCTCCCCGGACCCCCAGGCCAGGCTGGTTCCCAGGATGCTCTCCGGAAGTATTAGTGCCTTGGCCCCCTCACCTGAGCTTGTCCCTGTCCTCTACCCATTTATCTGGCTCCTGTCTGTTTCCAGGACAGATGGCTGCCTTGTCAGGCGGGGCAGGCCCGATCGCCACCACCACATCGCCGGAGCTCCACGCCCTCCAAGTGCCCAAGGCCGGTCTGCGGGGGGGGGGCGCCAGCCACATGGCACAGTGCCTTCTGCCCGTAAGGTGAGCCCCTGCAGCCTTCCCTGCCCCCGGGGTCCCTGCGAGGAGAGAGGCTTCCTGGCC